ACCAAGCGTGACATGATTCCTAGGGCTTTTCTTTCGGTATGTGATTATGGAGTGTCACATTTGTTTTATGCAGATGATGCTTTGATTTTTTATGATTCTTATATTACTACTGTTGTTGCTATAAAATCAGTGCTCTCTATCTTTGAGGCAACTACAGGTCAGAAACTTAAGATTGTAAAAAGGAAATATATTTTTCTTTTTGGGTTTCACAGGGTAATCAGTCCTTAATTTTGAGGAAGCTTGGTTTTGGTGAAGGAACCCTACTAGTGCGATATCTAGGGTTACCTTTATTTCATAGTCATTTGAAGTATCGTCACTGTCATAGCTTGATTAGCAAAGTTATTAGAAGGATAGGCTCATGGCAGGCTTTAACTTTATCTTATATGGGGTGTCTTCAGTTGTTGAAATCAGTTATATTTGCTTCATCTATTTTTTGAATTCTCTCATTTATTCTAGCAAAACGAACCTATAATACGATTGAACAGTTGCAGAGGAACTTTTTATGGGTAGATGTAATTAAGAAAAAAAGAGTGCATCTTGTTAAATGGAAAACAATATGTTTACCTCATGCGGAAGGGGGACTAAGAGTCTGTAACATAGTGGACTTCAATATTGCAGGGATGATGAAAATGGCATGGAGACTCTTAGTCCCCCTTCCGCAATATTGAAGTCCACCAATAACATAGTGGACTTTCAATAATTATATGGAATTCTCTATTCTTGAAGAGGGTTTGATCGTAGCAGTTCAATTAAAGTGTTTTCCTCTTCAGATTGAAAGTGATTCAGCCTTGCTCGTTAATATAATTCATGAAAGCTGTCAATCTCCTTGGAAGTTGTATACAATTGCAGCAAATTGTGGACAATGTCTTTCTAATCGTGGATGGTCTATCACTCACATTTTTCGTAAGGCCAACATGGGGGCTGATATTCTTGTAAAGAGGACTACATCTCTACAAGCCATTGTTTGACGTTCTCGTCTACCAAACTTCATTTATCTTGCTTTACTCCATGAATTATCACAAGTGCCCTATTCCAGGGTTGTTAAGACATGGGTTGTAACCTTTTTTTTAATTATCAATGAAAAATGGGTAGAGGGACCTTCTCCCCCATTGGCTTACCCAAAAAACAAAAAACTTGGGATAGTTTTGGGTAATTTTGTGACAATATTATATTAGGTTTAGGTTGCGGATGGTTCACTAGGGTTTTTGTAGTCCTTCAAGCTCATAATCGAGGTTTTTAAGAGTTTCCTTAGCTAGAATTTCGATAGGGTGTCTACAATTTCAAATCTTAAATTTTAGAAAGAGAAAGTATATTAAAATTTTAGAGATAGAAACAATATCAAATTTTAGAGATAGAAACTACCTAAAAATTTTTAGAGAGATAAATATCTCAAAGTTTTCATAAATTTTAGAGAGAGAAACTACCTAAAATTTTTTAGAGAGATAAATATCTCAAAATTTTCAGAGAAAAAGTATATCAAATTTTAAGTTTCAAAGAGAGAAAGTATCTTTAAATTTTAGAGATAGAAACTATATCAAGATTCAGATATTGAAACTACCTAATAACTTTATCTAGAAAAACTATCTCAAAATTTTTAGAGAGAGAAACTATCTCAAATTTTTTAAAGAGAAACTATCTTAATTTTTAAGTATTAGAGATAGAGTATCTTAAAATTTTAGAGAGAGAAACTATATCAAATTTAGAGAAAGTACTTAAAATTTTTAGATAGTTAAACCATATCAAGATTTAGAGAAAGTACTTGAAAATTTTTAGAGATAGAAATTATCTCAAAAATTTTAGAGAGATAAATTATCTGAAATATTAATTTTTAGAGAGAGATTATTCTTAAACTTTTATAGAGAGCGTATGATAAATTTTAGAAAGAGAAACTATAAGAAAATTTTTAGAAATAGAAATTTCTCAATTCTTTAAAGAAAAACTATCTCAAATTTAAGTTTTAGAGAGAAAATATATTAAAAA